TTGGGCTAGGAATTAATTGAATAAGTATATCCAATGTAACTAAAGTGCTAACGTTTTTTATACATTTTAAATTGTATTGGCTTAATTATTTTTCAGGCTGTTTTCGTACTAGTTGTATTCATACATCTTCACGTAACATTTGTAAAATCTCCAGTAACGTGCTTGGATCATTTGCGTAGTGAATTTGAAAGCATAAAGTCTGGTTCAGGTGTATCTTTTACCTCCATAACTATGGATGCCAATTATTTGTCAAAAGGTAATGGATCAGATTCTTTTTTACGACGTTCATGGCCTAACTATGGTGTTTTACGTATTGAAGTCATCCGTTCTCCTGATCCGTTCTATTCTCTCGAAGACTCATATGCGAAAGAGTTTTACGGTACTGAAACTGATTATCGTTTTGAAGCCAAAAATGAAAAGACACCACAGGTTAACGAGTTGGATAAACATATTGCCTATATTCCCAAAAATTCAAAGTATTCACTAGCTTATTTTGCCGAGAATATCATCCCCGAACATCAGGACTTCTGGAATTCACTTTTATCTTTGCCATTCATTGCATATGGGTCGATCAAAGAAAATTTCAACCACTTTTTAAATTACTTATACGCTAGTCAGTCAGTCAGTCAGTCAGCTACAACGTAGAACCAGGCACATAGGTGCATCGGTCCAGGTTGCCATACCTTATTAGCACAACAAGATGAACACCGGATTCATAGGAGTGGTTAGGTCAAAGGTTGCAATAAGGATATGGTATAGGAAGGAAGAATTACTTAGTAGAAAGAAAGATATAAAGTCATTTTAATCTCTTAGTTTAAGAGAAGACAGGGAGTGTATACACCTACGCCATTGTGATCGATTCTGAGCCATGTCACCAAGAGTCTCCAACCATTGGTTACGATAGTCACGCGGATCCCAACCAAGTAGTCTGCATCTACCAACATGGCTCAGACTAGAGGTTAGCGTCTTCAAGCACTGATGCCACGTTTTGGTTTGGCCGCCCCTAACTTTCTTCCAACCATCCCGAACACCGGTTAGCATTGCACGTCGTGGTAATCGGTGTTCAGGCATACGTAATACGTGGCCCAACCATCTCAGTCGATGAAGATTAACAACCTCATCAACTGATTTACCATCATTCCCTAATACCCTACGTCTAACCTCACTATTACTTACCCGGTGATCCCAGCAGATGCCAGCAATATTTCTGAGGCATCTGTGGTCAAATACTAGTAGCTTACGGGTGTCTTCTACTCTTAAAGGCCATGTTTCGCTGCCGTAAAGTAAGACAGAACGGACTGCCGCGCAGTATACTCGTCCTTTTATTGATAGACGGATATCTCGCCTCCGCCAAAGGTGACGTAAGTTGGCAAAAGCCAAACGAGCTTTTCGAATCCGTGCTGAGATTTCGTCAGACACCAACCCATTAGGGCTGATCAGACTTCCAAGATAAGTGAAGTTGTCGACGCGTTCGACTACTTCACTCCCTATCCTTAGTTCAGGTGTTGACGCAGACCAGTCCTGAAGCAACAACTTGCATTTAGAGGGAGAGAAGCGCATCCCAAACATTCTGGCATTGTTGCTTAGTGCTACCAGAAGACTCTGCATTTTGTCAGCGTCTTCACCAAACAGGACTATATCATCTGCGTATTCTAAGTCGATAAGTGGACCTCCTGGAAGGAGATCAATAACCGAGAATTCAGTCGACGAGAGTGTTATTTCCATCAATAGGCCTATGACGAAGTTAAACAAAAATGGAGAAAGTGGACAGCCTTGACGGACACCACTTGAAGTTGCAAAAGTAGATGACAGTTCGCCATAAGCTCTGACTCGACTAGTAGTGTTCGAGTAAAGAGCCTTCACAAGGTTTATGTACTTCTGAGGTACGCCTTTCAATGACAGACACTGCCACAGAGTCTCGCGGTCTACAGAGTCAAACGCTGCTTTTAAGTCAAGAAAGACCACCATCGTCGGACGCCGATAGGTATGCCTGTGTTCTAGAACCTGACGAATGGTGAATATGTGGTCGATGCAGCCACGACCAGGTCTAAAGCCAGCTTGGTTCTCTCGAGTTTGTAGTTCACGAGTCTTAGTTAGACGTCTGATAATTATCGAGGCCAGTATTTTAGATACTATGTTTGTTAAACTAATCCCTCTGTGGTTATCACAGGATGATTTTGACCCTTTCTTATATATTGGGACGATAGTATATTGGGACGCTAGTAATCGAGAGCGAACATTCTCTTTTAAAGAGAATGAGGAAAATATGTCTCCATATAACGCAATTATAACCACCAGGAATAAACTCAGTCAGTTGTTGCCTGAAGTGAACCGGTTATTATTCGACTTCTTTGCTGGTATCGTTGATTTTATTTACGACATTCCTATTCGTATATATGCCTCGTCAGGTCCTGGTAAGTACATTTTTTTGTTTTATTTTATTTGACACAAACGATTCTTGCAGAAATAATTTAGGTACCCCACCAGATCTTAGAGACGACACCACTAAATTTAAAAGATCTTTCCTTTTTTAAGTGATTTGGTCTTAATAGTAGTTTTTTTGTCTGGAAAAAATAACGTACTTCACACGAAACTCATGCAATGCTGATGTTAGAATGAGTTAATTCCTCACACACATTACTGTGCTTGGAATTTGACCACTCCAATTTCTGTCAGTAAACACTTATGTGCTCACTACTTTGATCATAGTGCAGAATATCCCTCTACTTTGTTGTTCATCATCCAATCGGTCTACTCAGAACTCTGTATACTACATTTCTGACAACTAAGGAAAAAATGTTGAAATGTACAAGAAGTATATGAGTTAAGAAACGAAAGCAGACAAGAGTAATAAGAAACGAATGATTTAGATATTGAAGAGTGAATGGATTCTTGGTATCGTGATTGGGTTCAATTCCTATTAATAAAGATACCCTACTTAGCATACGCAGATGTTGCTGTGTGGGTCATAACCAACTAAATAAATAAAAATGGGCGGGGCGGATTTCACATTATAATGCACTGGTAAATATTTAAGTGGATTGCCCTCTAAAGCACTACGAGTTATCTAGTTTTCTGAATAAATTATTAACAAACAAGCACCACAGTGTAACAGACCTTTAGTTTTCGGTCCACAAAATGTCTTTGTATGACAAAACGTTCTAAAGTGTTGGTTGTACGACAGCAAATGTTAAGGTGCCCGGTTGTTCGACAGACTTTAAACAGCTCTGGTATTACGAAATAAAAAATATTGTTAGCTAGCAACACATGTGGTAGCGTTTACGGATTCAGAAAAGGTTGAGGAGTCATTCAATGTACCTAAGATCCCAACAGAACCTAGACTGTTTTTCCTATCTAGGTAGATGAACCAAAGTGGCAGAGTGTTGAAGGGTACTAGAAGACTATTTATTATTTGGCAGTCAAGTATTTTTAAATAAACCATCCGCGCCAAATGGATGGAGCAGTGTAAAGTCTGACACTACTGTACTCGTTAAACCAAGGAAAACTTAAAAAATATAGTGGTTTACATTATCATTCGAATTGAAAAAGTGAAGTTCTTAACATTTAGAACCAGGAGTATAGTTAATCAAACAATACCCGAGCTCCTAGCAAGCCAATGAATTTTGCCAATCCCAAGGAGCTCAGTGATGAACCAACATTTCCAGTGTTGCAAAGTGAATAAAATAATAGGAGCAAATATTCCAAATAACTGAGTTCAATAAAATACCTTGACCACAAAATATCTAGGTGTACAAATCCACAATATATGCTGTTTAGTGAACTTTTATCGTATCACAATAAAAGACGTTGATAAAATAAGAGAAACTCATCACAAAGTTTGTTTCGTCATTTGAACACACAACGTCTCCTAAGAATGTATTTAAATAACATAACCTCCTGGAATTATGCAGACGAATCTGGCTAAACCCGTCACACGCATTAAAGTCGATAAAACAGACAATTGTGATAACCAAAGTCAGTCAGTCAGCTACAACGAAGAACCAGACACACATATGCATCGGTTCAAGTTGCCACACCTCATTAGCACAACGAGATGAACACCGAATTCACAGAAGTAGTTAATTCAATGGTGGTGATATATAAAATAAAGATTGCATATAAGGATATAATACATGAAGAAAGAATTAGGTAGTATAAAGGAAGATATAAAGCAATCGTAATCTCATAGTTTAAGGGAAGACAGAGAGTGTACACTTCTACGTCACTGTGATCGATACTGAGTCATGTCACCCAGAGTCTCCAATCATTCGTTACGATAGTCACACGAACTTCAACCAAGTAGTCTGCATCTACCAGTATGGCTAAGACTAGAATCTAGTAACTTAAAGTACTGATGCCACGTTTTGGTTTGGCCGCCCCTAATTTTCTTCCAACCATCCCCAACACTAGTCAGTATTGCGCGCCGTGATTATCGGTAACTTACCCGATGATCCCATAACCGTAAAGATGTGAGAAATATTTATAAGGCATCTGTGGTCAAATACTAGTAGCTTACGAGTATCTTCTACTCTTAATGGCCACGTTTCGCAGCCGTAAAATAGAACAGAACGAACTGACGCGCAGTATACTCGTCCCCTAATTGATAGACGGATATCTCGCCTTCGCCAAACTACATACATGAATAAGAACTTAGTGCAGTGTTATTGCACGTCTCAGTGTGGAAGTGTTATTGGAAATGTAACCAGGGGTGATATCTTCACGAACTGGAAACATCGACGTGCAGAAAAGATAAAGACCACCTGTGGATCAAATCAGAGTGTGTCGGTTATCTCCCTGAACCAGATGTATTAGAAATGATTAAAAGGGCTCCAAACGAAAATCAAATTAAAAAACAAGTTCTTAATAATAAGATTTTCATGAAACACTTCTATAGTACAATAATATATAACTAAGATGATGAGAATGACTCACTCTACAATAATAATTAATAAATAACTGAAAACCAGTGTTGTAAACTATAGAAATAGTAAATTACTTACTCGTGTTTTCCCATATGTGTAGGAACAACTTTATCGGTTATTTTATAAAATTCGTTGTTTGTATATATGTTTTTTTCACCATTATAAAATGTGCCGTTACCCAATCGACTATGACAAGTTCCGTTTCGCACTTCACCCTATAAAATGCAATACTCTGTAAAACCAGGATGCTATCTTTCCTGTAAAACATTTAAATAGCAACAAGTATCAACGCGCTAACCGTATGCGAAGATGAAAGCCTATATATATATATATATATATATATATATATATATATATATATATATATATATATATATATATATATATATTGCCTGCACAATTGGACTCATTTTTACTGATATAAAGAAACACAACAAAAATGAATTAGATGCCGCAACGTAGTAGTGTGGGGTGTGCTAGTGATGCCGACAAGTAATTATCGGTAATTATCGTCATTTCATTTTATTTGTGTATAAGTATGTATCACCAATCAGAAGTGGAATGTCTGGCGGCAGGTTGAAAAAGACGAAGAGAAGAGAACGATAACAGAGTCATTGGTGTGGAAACGAAGGAAAAATCAAGTCTGAGACAGTTGATTGACATTTGGCAAATGAAGTATTTACTGTATAGTTCTCAGATCTTACTGGGATATTCTGTAATTTTGTGTTTAAATACGTTTGGTTGTCCCCACTGCTATTCTCGTTCACTACAATACTACCGTGACAATTTGTAACTGTTCAAACTTAGAGGGAATAGGTGACACTACGGGTGGGGAAGCCTTTCATCCAACGTAAGACGTCGGAAAAAATATACCCAGCGATATCCCAAGGAGACCCAAAGGAAACAAATGAGAGTGTTCAAACTAACTCTCGACCAAATCAATGCTGACGCAATCAGTATGAGATAGATTAACTAAACTGATAATATCTGGATGTGAGTTAAAATGCTCTTGTGGAACTAGTCGAATCAGCCGTACACAGGACTTATTATTTAGCATGGGTCAAGGTAGTTGGGAAGAGTAATTCGATGCTAAAATAAACTAACCTGTTTGCAGATAAAAAATACATTAGTAATTATTGAATTTGGTAGAAAATATACTGTCGTAGTTAGCGCCATATCAACTGATTGATCTAAAGCTACATAATAACAAACAGATAAATACCATTTAGTTCTTCTACTAAAACCCTGGAAGTTAGAATTCCGTTTGATAACGAAAATATACACACTTGACGAATTTGTTTTTCATATGATACGTAAGTTGCACTGGGGAGCATAAAATGGATCAACGTATTCTTACATTATTTCAGGAACATTAGGAAACCAATCTAAATGTAACTGCCTATGTTCGTTTTTAAGACATCCAATAGCCATTTTGTAAACCTTCCGCACAGAATACCACATAACGCTTGTCTGAAACAAAAATAATACATACATGGAGAAATTTACAAATTCTTTTCCAGAGCAGATTAAAGTAATTGACGTATTCACCCATCTAGCATAAGAGAGTTTACCAAGTTTAGCCTGCAAAAAGACTATTACTTAAATTAACGAAGATACTCAAATTACCGTCATTGTGACAGTGTTCACCGCACACATCGAAGACAAGGAAAAATGTGACTAAAATTAACGGAATAACTCCGATAGCAGCGAAGCACAGACGATTCGTCAACATTAGCAAACCAAAGTTTTAAATCAGTGAAAATAGCAAATTAAAATAGTCTTGCAATCCGAATTTGTTCCCTCCAAGTACCAGCTTCGAAGACATCTAATACGAGAGCCTGAAATATGGAAAAATATGACTAGACAATGTAAGCAGCTACAGCGCACAGCAAGTGAACTGAAATTATACAAGAAATGGACAGTTTATATTACAAATCACCCATGAACGGTAAATTAAATTGGTTTCAGCACTTACACCGCCCTCGACGGTAAGAAATTTCCGAAGTTATTTTGTTCTTAAAGACTGAAACTAATTAGTTTGATGGTGTTGTAATTCTCTCTTACGGTTATAACCCAGCTATTCCTATTGCTTAGTATTCTTGGACACCAAATCACTCGACAAGTCCCCAAATCAGAACACGGTTGGACAGGAAAGAGATTATATTCCAAATAACAAGGTTAGATGAAAGTAAGAAGCAAGTAAGTGCAGTAGGGAAAACGTTAGTATATTTATAGTTTTTTACATGAGATTTCTAGTGTTCACTAAGTATTGACTAACGCTGATTGGATAATAACTAGCCAATCAGCGTGCCCCAACGTAAGCGTGCATTGAGCACGACTTAATCCAGTTTATGTCCCGCTAACAGTGGCGACGAGGAAAAAGGAAAACAAATCCAAGATGTCCATATCAGATAACCAGCTTAACCGGATACTACAACAACAGCAAGCACAAATTGATGCACAGATGCGGTTGTTGGAGACCCTGACTCGACAGCTTAACATCCACTGCTCGAGTTCACATGCTATCCCAAGTACGTCTTGGGATGCAGTTGCTAGCAGCATACCAGAATTCATCTATGATCTCGAAAGTGGAAATACTTTTCTCATGTGGTTCAAACGTTGGGAAGATACATTTAGAACAGAATTCTGTAACCAAAACGACGCGTGGAAGACTGAACTGTTGGTACGTAAGTTGGGTAGCAATGAACATGCACGCTATACTGACCATATATTGCCAAAGTTACCACGAGAGCTCAGTTTCAAGACGGTAATCCAATTGCTAGAGATATTCTGTGAGTCATCCTCATTCTTTAGTATTCAATATCGGTGTCTAAATTTGGTGAAACGCGAAGCCAATGAATATGGTATTCTAGCAGACATCGTCAACAGAGAATGTGAACGGCTCAAGTTACGCTCATTGACAGAAGACCAATTTAAATGCTTAATATTCATCAAAGCTCTTCAGTCACCACAAGATGCTGAGATCAGGACGAGAGTTTTGGCTCGACTGGATCAAGACCCAAACGTCTCACTCAGAACATTGATAGATGAGTGTAAGCGGCTACAAAGCATCAGACACGATAACGAGTTGATTGAACAGGCAAATCCTAATTTAACCTGAAGTAGTGTCAATGCTATTACTAGGTTAAAAGTTCAGAAGCCGATTACAGCTCGTAGCAAACCAACGACTGCATACTGGTTATGTGGTGATTGCTGCTTCGGTCTGGGAACCCGGGCAGTATCACAGCCCTCACACAAATCGAATGATTTATGTGGCGCATATCTACTTCGTACCTCCCTGTACCACTGTTTATGTGTTTAAATAATAATAATAATAATAATAATAATAATAATAATAATAATAATAATAATAATAATGTGGTGATTGGCATTATGTACGATTCTGTCCATTTAAGAAGCATAGATGTCAGATGTGCAACAAACGTGGACATAAAGAAGGTCATGGTCCACCGAATCGTACGCCTCAGCCCAAGAAGAAGCGTAAACGTCATCGACACACCAGATACTACGAACCTTCTCAAAGGGAAGGTGTTTGGTGTACGTGGTCACCATATTAGACGATGTCTCTCCTTATGCTTAAAATTTGTGTTTGCTAAAAATAAACAATTGTCTGAGCACAGTTGCAGCAGACGATCACCATTATCTGTTCGCTGTGCCGGAATACTAGAATACCCACCTAAATGTCTTTCTGTTTGGTTTAAACTACCTATCTGGGCATTAAAGTCACCTGCTACAAGTACTATGTCTGAACGTTTAGCTTTCTGAAGAAGTTCAGATAGCTTTCTGTAAAATTCATCTCTCACTTCATCCGAGCTGCAGTCGGTGGGAGAGTAGGCAGAAACGACAAAAAGGCAACGACGTGTGTCCCTATCCTTCCGAGTCCTTACGGAGCCGTTTAGCCGAACAACACATCGGCGACTGTTGACAGGGATCCACTCTAACAGTGCTTGTTCCGCCCTCATGCTTAGTGCTATCCCTACTCCTGCCAGTCCACGAGAACTGGCCATCAGGTCACCAGATACACAGAGGGTGTATCTCGTCGGCTCTCCGTTTGGCAGAGGTGAGGTCAAGTGGATGACCACACTGGGATCCTGTATGCGTGTTTCGGAGACACAGCATACATCAATGGTACGAGATTCTAGGGTTTTAGCCGAGGAAGCCTGCTGACCGATTTGACATAGGGTGCGTACATTGAAGGCTCCAATGTGTAGTGTGAAGCGAGGTTTCAGTAGACCTGGGACAGTGTTTTGAGCACTAGAATCGTTGGCTATGGTGACACCTGAGGGGGAAGCCGAAAAAGGAAGTTTAGAGGTGAAAGTCGATGTAGGAGGAATGATAGAATTGAAGAGGGAGGTTGATTATGAATACAGTGGTCTTGAGTGCTGTTAGTGGTATCAGGGTAGTTATCACTTCCCAGTTGCCCATACCGTAGAACGGTCCTTCTGGAGGTACCTGAAAAGGAAATTGGATTAGAGGAGGTCATATTGACCTGAGAGTGTGACCGCAGTGCCCAAGGGACAACTGCTCGAAGTCGGTCACACACGACCTTTTTATGAGTAATTTTTGTGTTAGCTCCGTACTTGTTGAGACCTTACCGCCAGAGACAGATATCCGTGGGATAAGGCGAGGTGTGTATTTTTAGGGTCGACCTTTTCTAACCCCATCCCTCCTTGTGGGAAGGCAGCATCGCTGTCATGCTGGTTGTCTGAAGGAAACACCTTACTGCTGTCACACCTCTGTACAGTCAGCAGTACGACTTCGCCTTCTGGCCTTAGGTTTGTTGCTTTTAGTCTTACCGCTCTTTAACCAACCTGTTTGACATGTTAGGACCTTGAGGAACGGTTGTTCCAGCCAGTATAGCTCGGTTGCTTCATCACGATAGGTAAACCCGACCACCACGTCAAGGTAGCAACAACGGTCGGGTTACCAATTATAGATCACTCTTCATCACTATTATTAAACTCATGAAGTATTCCCAACATTTCCTTACAATGAAGGGAAGTTGAACACTGGTTTTACTTTTGCATGCCACTGATATTTCCCAAATAAATATAGTAATCCAAAAGGCCGTAAACTTTGAACCCTCGTAAAACGTGAATCTTGAAACGCTAATTCATCATATAAACATACCTAAAATTTAAACGCGGATACAAAGAAACCAGTGCGTTTATACTAACGGGGACTTCATTGGCCAAGAATATCGAAATGTTAGTTCTTTGAAACTAAGCTCAACAGTTTAAAGATTGTAACCACGAAAACCTCGCACTTTGTAAGTGCATGTTCTTTTATGTTTAGTATCACGGTCATAAGTAGGCATCGAAAACAATCTTGGATAGTCCAAGATCTAGATCACATACGTTCTGGAAAAAGCCCTGATAGCCCAAGTTTTATCGAGTCCATGCTGCCAATCAGCAGTAATTTTGAGAGGGTGAGACTTCAAAATACTTCAGTCACCGTGTAATAAATAGGTCGAGGCAGCTGTCAGCGGACAGAGGTGTGTTTAGTTGGGAGTAACTATATTTGATTTCCTCAAATGGCAGCCTAATGATCTTATTATGAAAGTTACGTACCGTTGAAGAATCCTGATCTATCGAATTCTGTGCCACCTGTGCCAATCAAAAGCATGTTGTTATATGTCACACACATGATCAAACAAGCCATACATTTATCCCATCTTATTGATTTTAGGCGAACATCTACTGAGCAGTTCCTTGTGAGAATATACATACGCTAAAATAGTCATGATATGTGATTTTTTCAAGATGCACTTTTATTCCTAATAAGCTACCATGTACTAGACTTAAGGCAGGATGAAGACTCCAAAGGGTTTGACTTGTATTCAGAACAGATGAGTTCTAGGAGGTAAACGTCCATTACTACTCCTCTATATCAATGACTTCCGTTTCAAAAAGGGCAATGATTTAGTACTGATTGTGATTTTCCTTGCTTTCGTGTACTTGTTGATGAACACCGAATTCACAGAAGCAGTTAATTCAGTGGTGGTAATATATAAAATAAAGATTGCATATAAGGATATAATACATGAAGAAAGAATTAGGTAGTATAAAGGAAGATATAAAGCAATCGTAATCTCATAGTTTAAGGGAAGACAGAGAGTGTACACTTCTACGTCACTGTGATCGATACTGAGTCATGTCACCCAGAGTCTCCAATCATTCGTTACGATAGTCACACGAACTTCAACCAAGTAGTCTGCATCTACCAGTATGGCTAAGACTAGAATCTAGTAACTTAAAGTACTGATGCCACGTTTTGGTTTGGCCGCCCCTAATTTTCTTCCAACCATCCCCAACACTAGTCAGTATTGCGCGCCGTGATTATCGGTAACTTACCCGATGATCCCATAACCGTAAAGATGTGAGAAATATTTATAAGGCATCTGTGGTCAAATACTAGTAGCTTACGAGTATCTTCTACTCTTAATGGCCACGTTTCGCAGCCGTAAAATAGAACAGAACGAACTGACGCGCAGTATACTCGTCCCCTAATTGATAGACGGATATCTCGCCTTCGCCAAACTACATACATGAACGCAACCCAAAACATTCTGGCATTGTTGCTCAGTGCTACCAAAAGACTCTGCATTTTATCAGCACCGTCACCAAACAGAACTATATCACCTGCGTATTCTAAGTCGATAAGTGGACCTCCTGGTAGGAGATCAGTGCCCGAAAATCCAGTCGACGAGAATGTTATTTCCATCAGTATGTTTATGATGAAGTTGAACAAAAATGGAAATAGTGGACAGCCTTGAAGGACACCACTTGAGGTTGCAAAAGCAGATGACAGTTCGCCA